GCATGAATTTAACGCGAGAAAATTTTCGTACAATGATTTTTTTGACTTTCCACGCCATTTAAGTCAACAAGAAAGTTATGACTTTAGACTTCGATTGTCCTTTCACGATGAAGCCCCATCTCGTGCCACTGTTTACAACTGGTTTAATGAGTTTAAACGCGGTTGCACTAATCTCACCGATGATCTGCGTAAGGGACCACCTTCTACGACAACAACTGAAAATAACATCAGTGTTGTGCGGCGTATGATAGAAACTGACAAAAGAGTTACTTATCTAATGACAAAAGAGCAGATTCGGACTATGAGTGAAGTGCACAAAATCCTCCATGAACATTTAGCGGTCAGGAAGCTTTGTGCCCAGTGCCTCATAATTTGACAGAGGCCCAAAAACTCCGTCGTGTTGATTGGGGACGTGAAATTGTTCAAAGATTTAACGGAGGTGACTCAAATGCTGTGTTCGACATACTTACCGGTGACGAAAGCTGGATTTATTGTTATGATCCAGAAACTAAGAGACAGTCTGATGTCTGGGTATTTCCTTTCGAGGAGTTGCCAACTAAAGTGAAGAGAGGTCGAAACGTGAGAAAAAGATGGTGGCCTCGTTCTTCGGAAGGACAGATCATTACGCAACAATTGTTTTAGAGGTTTTGTTTTTTGTTTGTTTTGTTTTTATAGTATAGGGTGACAAACGAGCACACAGTCCACCTGATGGTAAGTGGTTGCTGTAGCCCATAGACATCTACATCTGTCCTCAATAAAGACTCAAGATGCAGATGCGTTGTCACCCGTGAGGACTAAGATGGAATGCCTCTTTGCCAGTAAAAAGGGTCTCCGGTTCTCTACACTTACCATACGAAACACAGCAGCGTTAAGCTGCTATTTTACGCTGGTTTTCTGTGAGAGTGTGGTCCTTCCCCGGGCGAGCCGACCCATTCGTACTACAACTATACTTCTAATATAGCTGCAGCATGGCTCTACCACGTAAGGATCGGAAACCAATTATTTCAGAGTGGTACACTAACAATTGTTTGCCACTTGTCTTGGAAAAGGTTCGGGAGAAACGATCTCGTAGTAGGGATCCTCCTTCACCACGACAACACCTCGTCGCACACCGTCAAGCAAACAATCGACTACTTGGCGACGTCAGACGTGGAATGACTGGGTCACCCGCCCTTATAGTCCCGACCTCGCAACTTGCGATTTTTATTTATTCCCGAAAATAAAAGAAAAACTTCGAGGAAAACGTTTATGGACGCCGAGGAAGCAGTGGCGGCGTTTCAAAATGTCGTCGAGGAGACCCCTAAGGACGAGTGGGCAAAACGATGTATTGATGCAAATGGACACTATTTTGAAAAGATATAATAAAACTTAATAACTTTCTAGTTTGTTCATTTTTTTTATTTTCTAAGATCTTTTAGTGTCACCCTCGTATGCCAAGGTGCAGGCGCTGCTGCTCCGCGATAAGCCGATTAGACAGTCTTACTGCCACTGGGTACTGGAAAAAATGTCTTAAGACCAACGTTTCCTACCAACTGTATTATAGACAGATGAAAGGCCGTTTACTCAAAACGTCATATGGAACCGACAAACCATGCGTCACTGTAACCATACGAATCCCCATTTATTTAGGGATTCAGCTCATCAATACCGATTTTCCATTAATGTTTGGGCAGGCCTTCACGGAGATCAAATAATTGGCCCTGTTTTTATTGACGGAAACCTGAATGCACAGAAGTTTCTCAATATTCTTAACGGCCCAATAACAGAATATTTAGGATTGTCTGTGGTAGCTTACCAGCGGGTATGGTTCTAATTAGATGGAGCTCCTCCACACTCCGTACCCCTCGCGAGAAAGCGGCTTAACACCATGTTCGGCGAACAATGGATAGGGCGCTATGGCCCTCGCAGGTGGCCAGCTCGGTAGCTCGACCTCACTCCTCTAGACTTCTTTTTATGGGGCTTTATTAAAAATGAAATGTGCTCAAAGATCTCCGAAACCGAAGATAAACTGCGTAATCGTATTGTTGCCGCATCTGACAAATTAAAAGCCCTGGCTCTGGATCCTGAACGAAATTTGTTGAGCAGGCTTCAAAACAACATTATGCGGCGATGTAACTTGTGCATCCAAGAACGTGGCGGACATTTTGAAAATTTTAAAATTTAGGTTCCATTAAATTTTGCTAGTAATATGCAATAATATTTATTTCGTTCAATTCCATTATAGCGAAATAAAAAAGTGGCGACAATAACGCTGCCAGCCGCCAACCACCATGCCACCCGAGTGCAACAGTGTTTACTTTTACTGAATTTATTTTAATATTTATTTTGTTTGTAAACTTTACTTTTTTAATTTACGGGTTTTAATTTAATTTTACTACACTTCTATGGACTATTATTACTTTTGGCTTCATTTATTGCATATATGTATGTGGATTTCTTACTACTGATATGCTGATATGCAGATAAAATTAAAAAAAAAATCAAGTATTAATAGAAAAAAAGGAAATACATATAATTTATTATTATGACGGGAATTTCAAATAATACTCCTCAGAAACGGCTGATTGTGATTGCGCTTGCTGGATGTTAAGTGGTAATGAATTCCAAAGTCGTGTTGCTTGTGAAGTGAATGACTTATTATAAAAAGTAGTTACGCTGCAAGGAGTATTCAAAGCCAAGCTATACACTGACGCAAATTACGGTCATGAAATTCATGTCGATAGTGAAATCGTTCCTTAGACTTCCTTTCAGATTTCCTATCAAACAGTACACAAAAAAATTAAAGAAAGTAGTATATGAACAATCCGCCGAAGGTGAATTCGAGCCACTGGGAAATTGGGATACATGGACATATTTGCGTAAACCAAATATGAACCGAATGGATACATTCTGAAGACGCTCAAGTTTGTTTAATTGCTCCATGGTAATATCAATGTAGCATATACCAGCATCGTCTAAAATAGGCAACAAAATGGAATGTGCTAACGCAATTTCGCAAACATTTTCTTATATCTGTTCATTTTGAGATGCCCAAGACATTGTACTGTTAATTAGAACCCCTAGATTTTTTTACAACCTTACTGTAAGGAATAGCAGAATTCTCAAAACAAATGAAAGGCAGCGTATGCCAAGTAATGCTTTGTAGTAGTTTCTTGCTACCTATCACTATTACCTGCGTTTTCTCGGTCTTCCTACAGTTAACCTTAATTCCATAAGATAAGCAAAATTCAGAAATAATTGCGACATTACGATTTGTGGATAGCACGGCGGATGGAAGATTATCAATAGTTGTTTGAGAATATATTTGGAGATCATCTGCATGAAGATGGTAGAGAGAAGTTATTCCTGAAGTGATAGAGCGTATGAAAATCGAAAAGAGGAGAGGAAACAACACGCCACCTTGTGGCACGTCCGCATCCAGAGAACACCACGAGAAATAAGTATCTTCAATACTGATGCATTGACGGCGTCCAAACAAGTAACCACGAAACTAGTCGGTTGCTGCTGGAGATACGTTAATAGAACGGAACACAGAAGTATATCAAAAACCACTGTGTTGAAGGCGTTGTTGAAATCAAGAAGAGTGAGAATAGTAATTTGTCGATTCTCTATTCCTGCCCGAATGTCGTCTGTGATTTTAACCAAAGCAGTGACCGTGCTATGGCCAGGACGAAAGTCTGGTTAGAATGTATTTAAGAGGTTATTTAGATTCAGAAATTCATTTCCATAGTGTAGGAAAAGTACCTGTATTTATAGAATTGTTTAAAATTTTAGTCATGATAGGAGTCAAGAGATCTAATAGCGGGAGAATCATGTTTCGGCTGACATTATCACTTCCAATTACATTAGAAGTTACAGCTGTGATATTCTTTTTCATACGTTTAACGTACGCCATTTTCGTGCGTTGTATAATTTCAGTCCAACTTGTCATTGAAATTATTGATAACAAAATGCCATAAACTACAGAGAAAATCAGTCCGGTTTCGTCAATTTATGAGCTAGACGCGTTCTGAAAGTTTTGTTCATAATTATTGTTGATTTTGTTTGTTAATATTTTTAAATAAAATATTTACATGCCATTGAGACATGAGTAGCCATGTTTTAAATTTTCGTTTGTGTCTGTCAGTTAGAGCTAAATCTTCGGAACGACTGAACCGAATGTAATAAAATTTCACAAATAAATAGAAAGTAAATCAGGAATGATCTAGACAAAATTTTATACGAAAAATCGTGATTTTATTAAAATGGAAATATTGATGTTGAAATAAATGGTCTTTGATGATTATCTTAAGTCTAAGTAAAGCCACATTAATAGATCCCACCCAGGCGAAGCCAGAGCGGGTTGCTAGTTATAAATGTTAATTTAAAATTAATGTACCTACTTGCGTATCCGATATCTTCAAATTTAAAACAAATCATCAAATACTTACATGTACATTAAAAAATAAAAAAGCATCCACACAAACGTTTTATAACAAATTCATAAGTATTTACTCGACTATAGCAAAAAAATTCCTGCGTTGCAAAGAAGGTTGTTTGATATACTTTTTTTTATGAGATGGAACATTTTAGGTTAAAAAAAGCTTTAGGGTGACTATTTATATCGAATATGTAATACGAAATTTTACACAGTTCCTTTTGTACTAAACAGTTATTCTAAAATATAACAAGCAGATTACATTTCAACTGCCTAATATTTTATATCACGTCACTATGAACAGTCGGAGGGATCTTGAAATAGAGCACTACGGATCTTAAAAATATGATTAACAGTCATTTACATTATAATTTGAATTTTAATTCAACTTTGTATCAGTATTGCAAATAAGCGATAAAAATATTTTTATGGTCAGAATCACATTCTCTCACGTCTGTAGTGTAACATAGAGTCAAATTACTGCTTCTAGCATTCAAAATTACTTTTATTATATAATAGGTTAGAATTATTCTATTCTCTCCCTCATCCAGCTTAAAGTATATTAGCTAAAATATTAACCAACCTCATAAACAAATGCCGAAACTCTCTTGCTGACTGATAATAGAAGTAAAGCCGATGGGAAAAGTACAAGATATCTATCTTGATGTGACGGGCCCACTGCTACACTACCCATATGCAGCACATCCCCAAGAGAGGATAGTTCGCCACCTGGCCAGCCCCGTACTTCACCAGTTACCACTTGGAGTTCCAACTCTTTTTGACGCCTCAATGCAGAACAAGCACTCTGTAACAAAATATACATTTAAAACATTAACATTTTGTTACTAACAAGGCCCATTCCCCCCCCCCCCCCCCTCAACATAGCGGAATTAAATGACTATAACACTACCCTTGGAGGATACCAGCACCCCTGGATAATCCCTCGTTGAGCATCCACGGCCAAGCTACTCCACTCCAGAGCGTGGGGAGCACTCTGAGCAGGCAGCGCCGCGTATTCTGGGGGGGGGGGGGGGGGGGTAATTCCACTCGCGATTAATACTGCTCGGGGCAAGCAGAGCAATAAGACCTAGGCGACCCCTGTTACGCTATCCGTGAATTTTTGCTACATCGGGGAACTTCATTCCAACCTTACCGCTGTCCACTACCATCTAGAGATGGTACAAATTAGAACACTCCTTTATGCCCCGGGCTGGAGATTGCGTATACGTCAGAGAGGACATCTGTTTTCGACGCCTGGCAGTCTTGAAGGTACAGTCCTGTCCATCCTATGGCTGCCTCTATAGGTTCCATAGCGGTAATGCCGAAAGAGACTCATCGACCACGTCCAAATGGCTACAGATTCCTTGTTACAGCAGATCCCATCCGCATAGATCGATTGTAACGCCCACCACGCCGAATAGCTCGGTTCACGTTCAACCGATCATGCGGGGAGATCTGTTTATGACTTTACTTTGGCACATGGTCTTACACAGCTGTTACTTCATCTACGCGGATTCCAGACGTGGAGCATCATACACTTTCCCTGTTAAACCTTCTGCTGACCTTTCATCCGGGCGGATATCTGGTTTCCGTCGACGCTCCTTTAGCCTCGAGTGTAGTGCCACTCACACTAACGTCGCGGTTGCATTCTACAGGCTGCCGCCGTGTTTGGCACTATAGGTAGGCCGATTGGGATAGGATGCGGTCTTTTTTGCATCATATCCTTGGAGGCGGGTTTGCTTCTCGCCGGAAAATTCCAGAATTGTTGCTGATGTGGTACTTCAGGGTATGGAACTTTTTATTCCATCCTCTATGGTGCTAATCGGAGGCAGATCCCAGCCATGGTTTAGTCGCTCCTGTAAAATAGCATCACGCTATAAGCAGCAGTGCTACCGGGCCTGGGCTGACGCATCAACGTCTGTAGATGTAAACACTAGCGCTTTTAAAAAGAAGTATAATTCCGCCTCCAGATCCTTCAAAAGAGTCATTGCCAAGACAAGGTTTGAGCACATCGGCAGAATTGGCAAGAAGCTAGTTCACCTTCCTTCGTAAACCCCTGCATTCTGGTCTCTCGCCAAGGCGGTTCAAGGGAACTTCTGTCAGTCATCTCTTCCATCTCTGCATAGAGAGGACGACTCACTGGCCCATGCTGCAAAGGAGAAAGCCGATCTGTTAGGCTTTATCTTTGCGTCCAACTCGACTCTAAATGACGGGGGAACACACCGCCGACCATCCCGCGGTGTGAGTGCTTCATGCCGGATGTGCGGTTTACACAGCACTCGGTTCGCAAAGCACTCTTCTCCCTGGAAGTCATCAAGTCGAGTGAGCCTGATGGAGTCCCCCCCCCCCTTGTCGTATCTCCTCAGTTTCAAGGCACTCCCCTTGCTGCCTCAGCTAGCATCGGAATCCTCGGCGTCGACATATCGAATAGTGTGCAGTTTCGTGGTCACTTGGAAGGGAAGGCCAAATTTGTCTCTAAAAAGCGTGGCGTTCTCATCAGATCGAGACAGCATTTCATGCCGGCACATCGCTTGCCTGCGACGTGGTCCTTCACTGCAGGCCGGATAAGGAAGCTCAAGGTTGCTCAGCGAGCTATGGCGAGGGCTGTGCTCGGAGTTTCTCTCCGTGATAAACTTAGAAATGAGGATATCCGCAGTAGAACCAGAGTGACCGACATAGCCCAACGGATTAGTAAGCTTCAATTGGCAATGGGCCGGCCCTATAGCTCGAAGAACCGACAACCGATGGGGAAAAAAGGTTCTCGAGTGGCAGCCTCGTACCGGCGGACGAAGTGTAGTGCGTCCCCCCACTAGATGGAGTGACGACCTGGTAAGACATTCAGGAAGTCGATGAATGCAGGTGGCTCAGGACCGTGTTTTGTGGCATTCCTTGGGGGAGGCCTATGTTCAGCAGTGGACTTGTGAAGGGCTGTAATGATGATGATGATGATGATGACATCGCTTGCAACTTTACAAAGTGCAAGTTCGGTCTCACATGGAATACTGTTCTCATCTCTGAGCCGGGGCACCCCAGTACCAGCTCCTTCCACTTGACCGCATCCAGCGCAGAGCGGTTCGAATCGTCGACAACAAAGTTATTTCTAAACAGCTGGATACACTGTCGCTGACCATCTGGATGCTTGGCGGTCCACGACTGTGCGTTTTACTAGGAGTTTTCTTCCTCGTACAACTTCTCTGTGGAATTGTTTACCACCGGCAATTTTTCCGGCCCGATACGACTTAGGGACCTTCAAGAAAACAGCTTACACCTTTCTAAAAGACCGCCGGTAACGCATCTGCAATTCCCTTGGTGTTGCGATTGTTCATGTGCGGCGGTAGTCACTTACCATCAGGTGAGCCGCATGCTCGTTTGCCCCTTTTCAATAAAAAAAAGTCTGGTCGTGATGTCAAAAAAGCCATCACACATAAGCGGAAGTGGCAATATATCAGCCATATATAGGAAGTCGATGGATACAGGTGACTCGGGACTATGCTTTGTGCAATTCCTTGGAGAACGCCTATGTTCAGCAGTAGACTTTTGAAGGACTGTAATGATGATGATGATGATGATGATGATGATGAAGTCAAACCCCATAAAATGTCGAACATGTGACTCCTGAGTTGTGGTTATCATTTTGAATGAAAAAAATAATATATAAAACCAGTTGTATTAACTTACTGCAATATCCTTAAAGACAACAGATGCTCTATGTGTATCACCTCTGTCTGGATGTGCTTCATGTACATGCCTTGCTAGCTCTTGTAACATGGCAGGGTATTTTCCAAGACGTCGGAAGGGTTTTGATAAGCCTGCGGTTAATACAAGTACTCCAGGGCATACCGCACCAGCATTCTCCATCCAAGTGTTTAACTCTTCTCTGTAAAAAGAAAATAATTTTAAAGGTAAATTATAATGTCCTTTTGCTGATGATGATGTTACAATGTGTTACAATGGTCCAATGAAACTATTGTGCAAAATTTTATCTTCGGTTTAAATAGTTGTAATGTAAGGATCGATAAAGAATATCGATAGTCCGTGACCGGACTATCAATATTCTAGATCGGGGAAGGACCACGCTCTCACAGAATACCAGCGTAAAATAGCAGTTTAATGCTGCTGTGTTTCGTATGGTGAGTGTAGAGAACCGGAGACCCTTTTTACTGGAAAAAAGGCATTCTATCTTGGTCCACACGGCTGACAATGCATCTGCATTTTGGTTTGCGAACAAGGATAGATGTGGATGTCTATGGGCCACAGCAGCTACTTACCATCGGGTGGACTGTGTGCTAGTTACCCTTATTCTATAAAAAAAAAAACAATTTGTTCTGGTACTCGACGACTTATTCCCGAGAAATATTGACACAGCCGGTGCATCATTAGTGGTGTCATCTGCATAACAATAAATGTTACTAGTTTGCAACATAATATCCTTCATATGCAGAAGAAACAGCGTGTGATAGCACGCACCCTTGTGAAACACCAGCATTAATAGGCTTGTAGTTGGAGCATGCACTATCTAATACGACCTCAATGCTACGACCGAGAAATTTAATTAATTACGGTAAAGTGACTAATCTACCAATATTATTTCATTACTTTTATTAGAATGAAATGTTAAACTTAAGTTTTGAATTTGAGTGCTTTACATTCTCAGTTGAGCACTTACTTATATTTGTCAAGGATGCACACAGCCTTTGGATGACCAGCACAATAAGTCTGATGAACAGCTTTAATCCTAGGTGCCCACTGTAAAAATAGTCCTCCCACTCTTTGATCTGGACCTGTCTTTGTTGCACATTCTTCAAGTAGAACAAGGAATTGTTCATGGGTTTGCAGCACTTCAATGATATTACCTGTCAACTGCTTAAATTCATCTTTTGTAAGCCTAAAATAAATTTGAATGTGTTATACAGTATTAAAAAGCCAAATAACATATGATAATGTATTAAACTTACATTTCACTTGTCTCTAATGGATGCAGAAAGTTGCTTACAAGACCTTGCATTTCAGCCACATGAGCTTTTTCAGAATCTATAATATCTTTTAGCACAACATTTCTAAATGCTTGTATTTCTGATGCTGCTCTTATGGGAGATGTAGTCAATGATCCTGATGTATCTGTAAGTTACGTGTAGAATATAATAAAAATTATGCCATCTGATTGCAGAAATTGCAGAATTGCCACTAGGGAAAGCAGATGATTAGATGGAGTAAATGCAGAGCTGACGAGACAATTTGAAGTGGTTAGACATGTTTTAACACTCAACAAAGCAGTACAGTCAACTAGAAATCATAGGTGTCATATCATAGATAGTCATAACTGTTGAACAGTAAAACAGCCGGGATGGCTCGACTCCGGACTGTCCATACAGCCGCCGCGAATGTCGATTAATTCACAGTGTTGCCGGTTTCATAACTTGTTCATACTTATAGGAATATAATAGATAATAAATAATTTTAATCTGTATTTCGTTGACAAATTTAAAGATATTGCCAGTCGATAATCGTCGTTTTGCGAAAAAAATATAGTTAAATTAAATAATAAAATCAAAAAATCAAAAAAACCGTGATTAATCACGACTTTTTTAAAAAAATCGTGCTTTTTTCGTTTTTTTTTTTTTTAATAATCAAGATTTTTTCCAACCCTGCCTACATATAATCTATGATGACAAAAACTGACCGCGCAGGCGCAATGCGCTCTTATATCAACTGCGCATGCGCGACTACTATCTCCCGCGCATGCGCAAAGACATAGAGCACATTTTTTTGTTTTAAATAGCTTCTCTAGTATGTAGTACATTCTAACGACGGCGCGAGTTCAAATCCCGCACGGAACAGGTATTTGTATGGCCTAAAAATAATTATTCCGGGTCTGGATGTTCGTCCTTGTGCAATTTGTGTTTTTAAACTGCCTCCACGATACAGGAGAAAATCCTAGTGTGGGGGTAACGTTTTTTACAAAGAGAAAAAAGAAAAAAAAGAGAAATCTCCATGGTTTGTCATTAGTTTCGGTACCTAGCACAATACACGTATTTATCTAAATTACGCAAATACATTCTAACAATAGGGTTAGGCTATGGCTGATTATTCATCATCATCATCATTACGCTTGGCTCCCACTCAGTTGGCAACTGCAGTTATTTTTATTGTCGTTTTGCTGTTATCAGAAAGATGATGTTGCCTCTCTTCTGCCTTAGTTTCCCTATGATTATTGCTTTGTGGTATTGGGGAAAAGAAAAGAAGAGACTGTAAATGTACTGGAAAAGAAAGTAAAGAAAGTGGGCCTTAAGATAAATCATGACAAGACCGGAAAATTTAATGCTTACGGTGCCACAAACACCAGGGAGGAGAAGATAGAAATCCATGTATAAATATAAAATACTATCTGTTACAGTGCAGCTGTACATACAGATTTTGTGTTCAGGCTTCTCAGCAAGTGCACTAAGAATAATATCTTCAAAATGGTGATAAGTTCAATACTAATGTACGGCTGTGAAGCATGGATAGGTCTCAGGGTCAAAGGAAAAAATGGTGATGGAGCAAAAGGCTTTATAAAAAATCCTTAAATCAGTATACAGAGAGGATGCCGAACATGGAGGCAATGAAAAAATAAGGAAATAGAAGAACTGGTAGCTGAGCAGACCAACCTAAGTGCCATCTTTTATTATCGAAGGGCAAGACTCAATTTGGACCACTGTGCCACGCTAATTTAGTCATAATAATTTTCTGTTAATAATTTCTTACTTTGATTAGTGATGCAATAATTTTTTTGCCACCTAACCCAGTTTTTTGATGTTATTATTGGAAACTAAAATAAAAATTGATGATCTATAATTTGTATGTAAAAAGGTCTTATTACTTTACCCTTTAGCACTCATTGTTATGTTGTTAAATAAAAAAAAATTAAAAATAAATGTTGCTAATTCAGTTGCAGGAAAATTGGTCTTAATTATTATGCTTACCAAGCAAATTAAAAATTGCAGTACGAGACCTTTTGTACCTTTGACAATAGTTTCCCTTATAAACTAATAAAAATCATTCAGTCTTTACTGTTTATATTTCTAATAACAATAATTTGAAAAATAAAAAATCTATAGTTCTAAGAATTATATTCAAACATTTCACTGATTCTATTAAAGAATCGATTCAATAAGACAATCAGTTGAACAACTAAACCAAGATAAAGTTTGTCCACAGACAATTAATTTTATTCTATATATCGTCACTGGAAAGCCAATACTACTTAAACGGCAAAAGGGCATTTTACAGTAGAGCCATTTTAAGTTTTTTTTTTTTACAAAACCGTTCTTAACTTTTTTTCTAATTAAGATATCGAAATACAATAAAAGCAAAAAAAATCGTGATTCTATTATCTACGTACTGGAATCGAGATATTCTGCATATTTCTTGTAATTGAGAAGATAGCTGTCACTTTAGTACATTTGCTCTGTACACTTCGTAAGGAGAAACTACTTATCCCCATAATATTTTTTTTAAATACTAACAACTAACGTCCTTTCCAATGTATGAAAGGAAAAAAGTACTAACACGCATTACAGGTTGATAACGGTCGCAGTATAATAGTACTTAAACATTATAACATGTCACAAGACCGTACGGAAAAGCGATGTATAGTATTAAAAGTTGGTACCATTGTTATGTTAAAAAGACTTATGTAAAAGACATATGATTTAAATTTAAATGGTTTTTTCTTAACGGACATAGACAGTACTTGTGCTAACAGTAATTGTACTAGCAGCAAACAAAATAAATAAGAATACTGTAATTTCTAATTCGAGTTAGATTGAATATTTTTACTGTATTGGTTGAAGAAAGAAAAAACAAAATATTAACTTGCTTATTAATCACTTTTAATGAAAAATAATAAAAAAGTGACAGGATAGTTTTTTCACAGTTTTAAAATTTGGTTACTTGTAGCAAACATGTGTCAAAAGTCACACAAAATAATTTTATTATTAATCTACAATAATAATTATGTATTAAGTAAACTATTATTTGGCACAATTTTCGAAGAGATTAAATTGATATGCATAATATATTTTGAATACCTTGTGATAAAAGAGTTGTATCTAATCATGCAGTTTGGAAAATAATACTTAAATGGTGTTAAAAATCTACTAAGCCTGAGTATAATTATTGTGAAAAATAAACTTTAAATTAAAATTACTTCCTAATATTTTTTAAATAAAACAAATTTTACGGATTTTATCGCTTATATTAACTTATTTTACATTCCCGACGTTCCTACGTCATAGTGAACGAGTGAAGCCGGCCACAGTTGAGCGAGTGCCTGCTGTACTGCCATATGTCAGAGATGTCACTGACAAGATTGGCTACATCTTGAAGCGTGCTTCCATTAATGTCACTGACAAGATTGGCTACTTCTTGAAGTGTGCTTCCATTAAAACATACTTCAAGCCGCCGAAGAAGATTAGTCAGTTTTTACCATCAGTCAAGTGTAATGTCCCTCTGCAAGATGCAGGAGTATACAAGCTTAATTGTGAATGCGGTCTTTCTTATATAGGACCAACCAAAAGATCCATAAAATGCCACGTTAAAGAACACAACTGAAGTTGCATGCAACATCAAAGGACTGTTGAGCTGCTTCGAGGAGATCTCATGGCTCGAATAAGCATATTATTCCTGCCCACACGCAAAATACGCGCATAGACGTGCAGTTGCGGAAATCAGCCCGTCGTAAACTAAACAATAGACTTCTCTAGTTCTGGACTCATAAAAAGTAAGATTATATACAGCTAATTTGCGACTGTAATATAATAACATACTTTGGCCATATAACGTATTTAAAACTTATTGTAAATCAAAATATAAATGGTATGTATGCCCTTAACAAATCATAATCAGAACAAAATTTAATTTCAAAAGACTTAACTGAATATTTTTTAACGTTTTTCACACATCTAAATGCTAAACCAACTATTAATATTTTGTTGAGTAAAATAATCCATACCTAATAAAATAATTATTCAATTTCATTGAATGTAAAACATTCTATATATATATATATATATATATATATATATATATATATATATAATAGACACTCAAATACTTAGATATGTAAAGCAAAGTTACTAAACGTTCCCTGTAAGAAAACTGCATCTACATATATGCTAGTATTTACGGCCGGCAAAAAATACTAAGGTTATATCAATGACTCGAACTACAGTACTTTGAATTGCTGAACAAAATTGAAATGTCTGTTGTCAGTAAAGGAAATTACTAAACTGACAACGACTAAAAATTAATCATAATTTGTATTACATTTACATAAGTATTTGTCAAAACATGAAAATTATGATAAATACCATACTCTTGCAGTGCTTAAGCACCAAAAAAGTGCTCAGATCATCACGAAATATAGACCTATTGATGCAAAAAAAAATCCAATCCAACGTTATATATAACTTATTTTGGCCAAAATGGTGCTTAAGTAGTATTGGCTTTCCAGTGACGATATTATTAATGAGCAGTATTTGTGTTGTGAAAATGTAATTAACATTTTCACAACACAAATACTACTCATGAAAAATAATTAAAAAAGTGCTAAAATGTGGTTGATTTAAAATTTAATCAGTATGCAAGAAAATAATGGCAACAGTGTATTGGGATGAAAATATAAATATGGGTATTATATCATAATGCAGTTAGTAATTTTATTTATTGTTTACATATTTTAATAAATAATTATTCCAGTTCTGTTTGTTTATCCTTGTGAAATTTATGTATTTTACTGTTACCGTCACAGCCTATCAAAAGTTCACTGATGAACATAGGCCTCAACTATAGATTACCTCATAGGATTGATATTTGCCATAGTAGCAATGCTTGGCATGCGGTTTGGGAATCCCAGTTTTTATTTTATTTTGTAGTTGTTATTAGAAAGATGCTGCTGCTTATCTCCTTATTTGTTTCCCTCCGTCACCTGTTACAACACCCACTGGACGATATTGGGTAATGGATATTCTTGCCACGTCACAATACCGTATGATGATATATTTTTTTAAAGTATATATTTCATGACAGTCTTATTGATTATTATAAGCTTGCTGCTGAACATATAAATCCCATGTACAGCAGCAAGCTAATGGGATGTAACATGATGATTTTACACAAAATTTGATAAATAGTTGGAAAAACTTTACTAAAAAATTGTTAACTGTAAATACATTTAAAAATTAAATTAATATTACAGTATTACTTACCTTTATAATCTGTCACATAGTTACTAGGGAACCATCCTGTTGTTTCACCCAATGTACCTTCCCACCATCCACCCTCCTCCTTTTGAGTAACTGTTATAATGTCACCTTTTTTGAAACATAGTTCGTCATTGTTTTTTCCTTTAAAGGAATAAATTGCTTTCACTAAGCAAGCTTCAGTGGACATCTTATTTGTATTTTAGTACCATGTTTTCTGAAAACCATGTAAATATGGCATAATATATAAATGAAAATAAAACGTTACTAAGTTATTGAACTATAAAATTAAAGGTATTATTACTACACTTCAGGATTCATACCGAAAAATTTCTAGAAACTATTCATCTTCAAATGTAAAGAAGGAAATACATACTTCAACATGAACATCTAAGGTCGAGAAAAGTATGTGATAATATGATAAAATTCGGAAAATTACTAGAACATAATGGTTTGTAAGCTTTTTAACCTTTAAATGCTTGAACTTACTTCGGACAGATTGGAATTTCAGTAAAATTACTACGTACAAAAAAAATTAATTATATCCGCTTCTCTCACGGTCTTCCAAATCCAAAAATAAATATCACAGAGCACTTATAACATTATAAACTACGTAAACATAAATACTCTTTGGACTAAACGTTTGGAACAGTGCTGCCACATGACAAAAATTAAAATCGCTAGGGTATCCAAAAGACGTCATTCGACCCATAGACTTAGGATATACGTATAGACGTATAGACCAACATAATGCGCAAGGGAGAAGAAAATTCCTTATGGCAAATATGCAAGATAGAAAAGGATACCAAATCTCATGACTCTGTAACCGATTTTGAATGACAGGTCGGCGTAAGTCGGCGCGCAAGAAATAAGCTTGTAGATATTTTGTGTGTTTTTAGATTATAATAGTGTTAATTTGTATAATTTATAGTTTTCCAAAATGTTTTCATGTTCCGTAAGGGACTGTGGTATCAACAATAGAAGTTATCCTGATAGTTGCACATTTCACAGGTAAATTCGCAAGACGTCGTCAATAATAAGACAGGTCTATTTTTGCTTAAAATGTATGTTATATACTGTTTAAAATATGTAATATTTTCAATTATTTTATTAATTTTGATATTTTTCAAAGAAAAAAGTCACATTGTTGATAATTTGTATGATTTTGGTGAATTCATTTTTAAACAAAATATTTTTCATTTACGATACAATATAGGGATTGACTCTACTACAACTCTGTGTAAAAAGTATCGGGAATATGTCAATAAAAAGACCCGCGTAAAAGAGGTCGTTCTAATTTTTTTACTGCATGTTGGTAGCACTGTACTGATTTAGCGCGCAAAGTTTGAGCGGGATCTCTCATTTAATTTGTTTTAAACTACACTTTTTGTTGGTCATAGTTTTGAGTTCTCGGCGATTTTTACAATGGAAAATATTGTTGAACAAAGAGTGTGCCTTAAATTTTGTGTTTCGAATGATATTTCATATGGTGAATCACTAAAAATGTTGCAAAATACCTACGGCGAATCGTATATATCGAAAACAAGGGCTTATGAATGGTTTAAGGCTTTTAAAGAAGGCCGAGAAGTAGTAATAGACTTGCCTCGTTCTGGTAGACCTTCAACCGCTACGACCAAAGAAAACATCGACAAAATCAAGAAGCTAGTGCTCGAAAATCGACGTATGAGTCTGAGAGAGTTGGCTAGTGAGGTGAACATATCTTTTAAGTCCGTCCACAATATTCTCATTGACATTTTAGGCATGAAACGCGTCGCCGCTCGACTAGTTCCAAAAGAGCTCAATTTTGTTCAAAGAGCGCAGCGAAAGCATGTCGCTGAAGACATGGTTTCCCGAGCTTCTACGGATCCGACCTTTATGAAACGCATAATAACTGGCGACGAGACATGGGTTTATGAGTACGACATGCAAACAAGCCAACAGTCTTCAGAATGGCGTCTCGAAAACGAGCCGAAACCCAAAAAACCGCGGCAAAGTCGCTCCAAAATCAAGGTGATGCTGACAGTTTTTTTGACTACCGTGGTGTGGTTCACTCCGAATTCCTTCCAAAGGGAGAAACAGTGAATAAAGAATATTATTTAGGCGTCATGAAGCGTTTGCGTGAGAGTATCCGCTGAAAACGTCCAGATTTGTGGCAACACAACTGGATGCTGCACCATGATAATGCACCATCACACACAGCCATTATAGTGAAAGAGTTTTTAGCGAAAAATTCAACAAAATTTCTTGACCAAGCACCGTATCCACCTGATATGGCTCCGTCTGACTTTTTTTTATTTCCCCAGTTAAAATTACCACTTCGAGGAAAACGTTTTGAGTCGATAGAAGCCATAAAAAAAATTCGCTGAATGAGCTAAAGGCCATACCGCAAATAGCCTATGAAAAATGTATGGAAGACTGGGTGAAGCGTTGGAGATGTTGTATTGCAAGCGATGGGGCCTACTTTGAAGGCGATAAAATAAATTTAGATGAATAATTTGTATTTTTTGTTTTATTGACAAATACCCGATATTTAGTACACAGAATGTATATCAAAATTAATGTCGATATTTATCTTTAATGTGTATAAAGAATCGATAGACTTTTATACACAACAAAAGAAGAATGAAATTAAATGCTCGATTTGCGTTCTAAAAACAAAATTTTATTTTGCCGTTTGTCAAACAGATTCCCTCTGGATCCTTTAGTTAGAAAAAAATGGTTGGCATTTATTGGGCGGGTTGGTTGGAATCCTAAGAAGAACTCTACAATTTTGTAGTAAATATTTTATTGAGAAATATATAAGAAAAAGCAGAGTAAATACAACTTTATTAAAAGGACCCATTCCTACATTATTTGTACCAGTAAGTATATTATTGTTACAATAAGACTTCATTTTTTTTATAGGATGGGGTGACAAACGAGCACACATTCCACCTGATGGTAAGTGGTTGCTGTGGCCCATAGACATCTACATCTATCCTCGTTTGCAAATCAAACTGCAGATGCGTTATCACCCGTGAGGACTAAGATGGAATGCCTCTTTTCCAGTAAAATGGGTCCCCGGTTCTCTACACTTACCATACGAAACACAGCAGTGTTAAACTGCTATTTTACGCTACATCAAAAACTTTAGGTAAAAATAGAGATAGATTTTTATATATTATAAAAGTCTTATCTCTATTATTATATATTTTCCCCTAGGGATTGTGCGGAGCTTTGGAATATATTCCTAAGTCACAATGATAAAACTTTTAGCGTAGTTAGGTATGGTTATTGAGTAATGCTCCTGAAGCGCCACTAGATGCCATGAGGCGCGTGATTTAGTGTACCAGGATAGTATAAATTCCATAGTATTTGATACGCGCAACGCTTGATATCCGATTCATGCTTGATGCTCGACGGCCGGTGACCGTTTTCTTAACATAATGCGATTGAGAGAATAGAAGAGTGCATCTGCATCCTCGGACACTTAACACAAATACGCTGTAGACATTAAAGTGCACCACTTTAATGTCTACAGCGTATTTGACTTGTCTATGTTAAGATCATTATATTTTTTAAATTCATGCAGCTAAAATGATAATAAATTTATTATTACTTTATATTTTTCAGGGACAGATCAAAGAAAGAGTAGCCTCATCATATGTCACTCGTGATATAACCCCTCCATAACCTTTGAAATCACAAGAAAAAAGTGTTCAATTTACACCAAGAAAAAAAACTTTCAAAATCTGAAAAAGAACGTAGTTCGGAGCTATTCTATATATGCTGCTTTAACTTCAGAACTTTGTTAGTGCGATTTAGGCTTCGATATGTTTCGCTTGTGGCTCGACGATAGCGTCGCCACATCACCCCTCTACTCAGACCGGAGATTGATAGTGCAGTACGATTACAAGTGCCAGGGATTGCCTTGTAGTCTGCAGTGAGTCGAGAAGAAGGCAAGTAATCTGCGAGAGTGCCGTGAAGCAGAGGCGAGCAGTAAGGCTCAGAGCCGTGCCGAACACTGTAGCGCAGAGAGTAGCTTGAAGGAACAGGAAGCATTATTATTCCAGTGCTGCGATGAACCTTTGTAAAGCTAGATGGCTTGCAGAATGGGAAGACTGCAGACAATATCTGCTCGGCAGCGAATGAATGGGGTACTTGAGGACGATGACGAAGCTTTTGAAGTTGTAGCTTCCGAAGGTTGTTGGTTGCGTGTTCATATCACGTCGGTTGGTCACCACTGTAGCCGGTGGAAGGAAAAGGGGTTGCAGCCAGTGGAAGGAAAAGGGGAATTCTCCCGCCGGGCAAGATGTTCTGCCCGGGGAGCGGCCAACGCTTCGATTGGTAGTTCGGAGCTATTCTATATATGCTGCTTTAACTTCGGAACTTTGTTAGTGTGATTTAGGCTTCGATATGTTTCGCTTGTGGCGCGACGACAGCGCCGCCACATGCATGTGGTATCGCAGACTTATTTTTAGATGGAGCAAAGACCAATATTTTTGTAGAAGATTGTATTTATGTAATACTAAATGTTACGCTAGCGCACGTGGATAAAGCAGTTAGAGAGCGCCTTTTCTTCCGGCTTGCGTAACAAAAATCAATATATAAGGTTAGCTGATAGTTATATGCTAGATAGTCCATACAATTCCTCATGAATCTGGCTATTATATGCAAAAAATTTAAATTTGAACTGGTAGGTCCAGAGATTAGCGTTTTAAAACAAACAAAAAAAAAACAAACAAAATAACTCTTCCGCTTTAATTTATTAGTATAGATTAAATGATTTTGTTTTCTTGTTTCTGTTTCCGATTCTGTTTTATAAATATTAAAGGTAATAATTATATAAAAAATAAAGCAGCCATTATATACATATGTCCTCGTTTTTTATATTACCAGCAAAACATTTTATAAAATATAAATAGGTAGATACTTAAGTATCTACCTATTTATATTTGATTAACATTATGTTGAAAAAGAAATAAATTCCGGGGAAATTGTAAATGGCATTAAATATTTTTCTCCAAAGTTCAAAAATATAGCTTTCCGATCTGATTGTTGGAGAAAATTGTTTCATTTTATCGGTAGACTTACCTCGCCTCTTCAGATATTATTGCAATTTTGTACATCTTGAATTAAAGTACAACAAAAGGCAAGTGGTGTCCATGTTGAGCAGTGGATTTTTATAGGCTATAATGGATTATGGATGAT